CCCCCCCCCCCCCCCCCCCTCCCAAAGTATGGACCTAAGTTACGTCCTGCAGTCGACACCATGCATGAGCTGCCTATCGACTGATGTTAGTACTTCGGCTATGTATAGAGCTCGCTCGCTGTTTTTATGCACTGTCGTTTACATTTTAGAATTTAAAGAATGTTCTTCATCGGAACGCAACGAGTGAGGTTAGTGGTTATAGTTTCCATATTAAAAGGGCAATCTGTATATTCTTGAGATGCCATTGACACCTTCCCTGACATACGTTTTCAGGCAATACGATGCAATAAACTAGATTTAAAAATATTTTTACCCGTTGTTTACCTGAAACTTGGCAATTTTGTAGTTTTTGTGTGTCTTTCTTTTTCTGTGTCGTTCAGAATCAAAGTCAGTATCGTCATCCAAATACCTCAAATTTGAAGGCCAAATACCTCAAATCTGCTAACAGTTTTAAAACCTCTTGCTCAAAAACTCGTTCTCTTGTTGTTGACAAGAACTTTAAGAACACAGTATTTAATATGTGCCAAGAAATTTCACACTATTTTTTTATGATTGCTTTGTAACGAAAATTCAAAATGACCAAATAAAATACTTTGGCAAACTATCTTAGCTATCCTCGTTCTTGCGACACTTAACAATGTTTGCTACGTACATTTTTCTCACCATGACGTCACATTGCGTAATGACTTCACTTTCGGCATACATATGTCGACAAATATGACTCAATTAGCCTTTCTCACGCCGCCATTTTTGGGTGGCATTTCTGCCGGAGCTGCGAGATAAGTCCACATAACAGCGACTTTTTTATCATTTTTTTGGACGAATGATGGTAAATTTACTTTGTAAATGGTTAGTTTATTTTGAAAAATTGCTTTTCACATTGTTTTTATTGTCTGCATTGGTTAACGAGAATTAGATGCCACCCAAAAAATGGCGGATATTCGTCATTGTGAGAAAGGCTAATTATCTATAAGAATTGCAAAAGTTTTTTCAGACAGCCCTTTGACGTCATAGTGAGGACGATTTGCGTAGCAAACATTGTTAATATCTCAGAAAGAAACAAGCTAAGCTGGTTTGGCAAAGTATCTTATTAGAGAAAGTAGTTTCATATTAATTTGAAACTGCAGAGTACAACGTAACATTCATTGTCTCGAGCGGAATTCGACCTCGCGTCTTCGGGTTTCTAGACCGCCGCTCTACCAATGGATGATTCCTGAGCTACAGACGAAATTTTGATCTAGACAAGAAGAACGCAATCCAGTACCATAGCTGGAAAGAGAATCTTAAAATGAGTAAAATTGCAAAGTTTGGAAGCGAATTGTTGTAAAATGAGGAAAATGTAGCCCTGTGAAGTTCGCAAATTTTGTATATATTTGCATTACGCGCGGGAACAATAATCATTTTTAAGCCGAAAGTGGTTATTTTTACCGCGCGTAATACAAATATATACAAAATTTGCGAACTTCACAGGGCTATATTTTCTTCATTTTACAAGATTTAGCAACCAATCTTTGCAGTTTTACTCATTCTAAGACGCTCTTTTTCTAGTTGTGGTATTGAATTTCGTTGTTCTTGCCTTGATCAAAATTTAGTCTATAGCTGGAATCACCCATTGAGCGATCGAGTCAACGGGGATTGGTAGCGAGTCTTATCCAGTGAACTCTATAAGTACTGGAACGATAACTCGGCTTTACCATGGCCTTAAGAAACTAGAGCAAGTGGGCTTTCAGAGTAACCAAATTTTAGAAACACTTCATCATGAAAGTTTTTAGCTTTTAGGCAGGGTATGAGAATTTATGCATGTCCAAAAATTGGAAAACACGTCGATCGGAAAACTTTAGTTATTTTTCAGCTGCGAAACCCACGCGAAAAACACGCGTGTTATACCTACAAGAGATGACTCCATACACAAAAAAATAGTTTCATATTATTCTGACACTGCATGTATGGTCTCGTGTGGAATTCAAACTCGCCTCTTTGGGTTGTGTCTGAAATGGTATCTTATTAGTCATTTTGAAGTTTCTTTACAATGCCATCATAAAAATGGTGTGACATTTCTTTGCATAAGCATTTTAACGTAATTTAGCATTGTTTCTTGTCTATGGGGAATACACTCAAATGTCAGATACATGCACTTGTGGGGCTGAAGTGCTCTCAAAGGTCACCTTCATGCCCTTAGACGCATTCAGTCTAAATATTATCAGTCGAATTATAGGAACTGTCCAAGGGACCCTTACCCCTTGGTTCAAGTTAATAAGGTCAGAGGGTCTGGCATGCGCTCTGGGGACTCTTATACCCGCAGGGCAGCCCTATGACCATTACCCCTAGAGTTTTCAGAGCAGGCCTTATATATACCCCGCAGGATGAAATATAAGGCCATAAAGCGTCTGTTGGGTTAAATATACTTAATATAATACTTATTGTAACAGGAGTACTTCATGCCCATAACCGATTCTCCCACACAAAGCTGTCCGTGTCTACTCTTAACGTAATTTAGCAGTGAAAGTGTTGTTACAACCACCAACAGTTTACCCCTGAATTTAATAATATGTAGGTAAAAGATACTCAAGATGCAGAATTGGTCAATGAACTAAGTGCTACGCTTAAAGAAAAAGAGAAGTTGATTGCGGTAAGTTTCTGCGAGAATTTTTGCGTTGCAGTTTGACCGAGCAAGAAATGATAGATTCATATAGGAGGCTTTTGGGCATCAAAGGTCTCACCTATACAGGGTGTATAAAAAAAAGCGCAATCCTCGACTGAAATGTAAATTGCTAAACAAATAATAGATGAAAACGTTAAAGTTTACATTCATTTTAAAGCGTAGCCATTCAGCTTTCTAACAGTGGGTTGTTTCTTAAATTTGACTCATTGGTTCGCGGGTAATAATACTTTACGTTATTGCGATTGGAGATTAAAAAAATTGAGATGGAATAACAAATCGTTCTCATGAAAATAACTGATTTTTTCATTAAAACAAAAAAATGTTGCATTTTATTAAATGGATTGTAACAATAAGTATAATTACGGCTTTTCTTCCACTATTTTTAACTCAGTTTGAAACTTCAAATGCGATATAATTTTGGCTTGGACCATCTAAGCTGACTGACATCAACTTGCTATAATTTCTGTTTACATTACATCGCAATTCGATGACACTCTGGCTCAGACACCAGAATGTTTTGACGATTTTTAGCATTCGTTTAGGATTTTCAAACAACCTGGTCTCTTTTAAAATACTTTTAATTTGTTCTTACGTGGTTTTCCAGATGTAGTGACGACAACATTAAAGTTTAAAGAAGAAAATTCTAACATTTAAACCGACTAAACAATAACATAGTAAACTTGCATAATTAAACAGCAACTAAAAATGATAGGTTTTACTAAATCTTTTCCTGTGCAATTATTACTAGCATTGGAGACAAGGATAATAGTTTGTTTGAAAGAGAAAAGAACAGGCTTTGAAGTAAGCCTAAAAGCGTTTAACTAGAAATAGTATTTCGAAAGTTATAAAGCACAAAAGATGAATTGCGTTTATTTTGATACACCCTGTATACACAAAGAAAATACTTCACTTGCCACTTGGTCGGCTAATTAAAATTTCAACCCCTGTTGAATAGACACAATTACTCAAGTCGTAATACAACGTGAAGTATAAAGAAAGAAATAATTGAAAAACCTTGAAAAACCCTCTTAAACCTATAATGTAAATTAATTATTTTCCCATCTCACTTCAGGATTTGCTGGCGGAAAGGTCTGCTATGATAGCAAGTTACGAAGCTAACAATGAAAAAATGATGGACAATTTGACTGAGAAAGAAGATTTACTGAAGGTATGTGGAAGGTATTTGGCACAAGATGTGTTCGCACTGCTTGTTCCTAGTTGTTGTGAGAAGTCCAGAACAAGTTGGTATCACCTTGTGACACGGTTGATGACAGTGACAGACTTGCTACAAGTTGTTCCGGCAAGACTAATATACAGGCTGTCCGTAACAAGTTGCTAAGAACTTGTTGAAATCAACTTGTTAACGACTTGTTTTGTGAGGACGATATCTGTTCGCCTCTTGAACCTTGTCTCAAGATGATAATAACTTGTTCCAGACTTGTTGAACAACTAGGAACGAGCAGTGCGAACACATCCTGCTGACAAGCTGTGAGGTTTTTTCGCGTGTATTTTCTTGTGTTCCATTGCTCACATATTCTGCGATAATTACAGGAAATGTATGAGAAAATGGACCGACTAAGTTCCGAGAAGAATGGCACCATTGCGAGATTACAACAAAAGATAAACGATTTGAGCCTTGACATTCACGTAAGACGTTGTATAAATATAGGAAAATAGAGCCCTACGAAATTTGCAAATTTTGTATTAATTTGTATTACGCACGTGAATTTGCACCACTTTCGGCCCAAATGTGGTGCATTGTTGCGAACGCGACGTTGTTAATCGCAAAATTTGAGAATAAAGTGGGTCGTTCGAAAATTGCCTCAATCACTGGCTGCAAAACAAAGTCTGTCGAAGTATTTAGTGTACTGTGGGCCTGATTTCAGTTACTGCCTATTCTGCATTTTCAATAGTTGTACAGAGGTTGGTTTTTATGACATTTGTCTATGTAAGAGTACCGCACTCTATGTGAGAATACCGCACTACTGCCCGTACGAACAAACGAAAATGTAGAATAGGCAGTAACTTAAACCAGGCAAACATTACACTAAGTATTTCTACAGACTTTGTTCTGCAACCAACAATCGAGGCAAATTGCGAACGACTTCCCAATTTACAGCATCGGGTAATCGAATTTACTGTTAACGGGTTATGCATCGATGATATTCAAATTAGTAAGGAAATAGAATAACCATGTCCGTTATTTCTGGCCATGGGGCACATCGTAAACCCTAAAACTTAGACCGTTGCACCTCCTTTTTCCATTTCTTCCCAGGACGTACACTAAAATACAGCCTTGTAATGAAATAGATCGATCGCAGGTAGATTTTCACGAGTATTGAAGAAATGGCGCTTACAATCGCTATTTTTCAACAGCTGATTGTTTTCAGAAGTCTTGGAAAAGTGTTTAAAAATAGGCAGAGAAAGTCTTGGATCTTTTTGGTCTTTGATACTATCAACATTTGATTGGATCATTTTTCTTTCATTTTTCGCTTCTGTCTTGGAAAAGTGTTTAAAAATAGGCAGAGAAAGTCTTGGATCTTTTTGGTCTTTGAGACTATGAACATTTGATTGGATCATTTTTCTTTCATTTTCCGCTCTTAGGCTGCGGACAACAGCAAGATGTGGACGAAGCAAGAACATGAAATTCTTATTGGAAAACTGAAACAATCCTTGGCAGAAAAAGACAGAACTATAGAGGTGAATCACCTTTTTTTCATTTCCAATGTCGAGGGCATGTGTGTCCAGTGCAGGGTGCGTTGATTGAAGATTATTAGTCGTACCTGACTGGTACTTCGTGTAATATTTCAAATCCGACTATGAGGACTGGACTAGATTTCAGGTCCGCGCAATTTGATCGAGTCCGAGGCGAAGCCGAGGACTGGATCAAAATGCGAGGCCTTGAAACCTAATTCAGTCCGAATTGGAGGATTCGAAATGACATCTGATACGAATAAATCACTACTTAATTCATTTTGATCCAGTCCAAGGACTGATTTAATTTTGATCAATGTACTTCATCAGGTATCCAGTATTATCATGTGAGCAAAATAAAGCAATATGGTTGTCTGATTTACTCATGAATTATTAATGAGTTTGAGATTGGTTATTGTGCGACATACTTTAAACTTGGCCTGTGCAAACTTAAGACTCAAGGTGTACTCTGTGTATGAAATGAAGTAGCAAAGTACAAGTTTCTGAGATGTATTCATTCAGCGACTTAAACTACGAGTTAGAACAAGGAGCTTTATTACATGAACCAATATATTATATAACTACAAATGACTAGACCTTAGTCCTATCAGTCTAATTATGGATGTTTCATGCCAAGACATGTCACACTTTATACAGGTGTACATACCTGTATATAATTACGCTTCTAGAACGTTTGCTGATCATATGGTAGATAGGGCGAATTTTAAGTACGCGAATAGCAAGAGTTCCGTGTAGGTATACGTGGTACTTGATTGAAAACAAAGAAGTACCAGATTGTAATATCTGCGTACCTCCGGTATTATTATTTTATTATTATTTTATTATTATTTAATCTTATTTTACAACGGTAGGCCCTTCAGTGAATTACGACTGATTTTCAAGGGGCCGTTGCTAAATTAAGGCACAAAAACAAAATTTTACATCTATTACACACTATAAAAGAACTTCTAAAAAAGGTATAAAATACGTAAGTATACGTAAGGTATACGTAAGGTATACGTAAGTATAAGGTATACGTAAGTATACGTAAGGTATAAAATACGTAAGTATACGTAAGGTATAAAATACGTATACGTAAGTACGCGTCTTATCGCACTCTGGCGGTGAGATATTTTGATCCGCGTTTGTACGTGTGTCTGTCCAGGGTCTGTCTCTGTTTGTCTGTCAGCACGATAACGCACATATTGATACGAACATTTGTTGGACGAATGAACATTATCCAAGGACAAATTGATTAAATTTTGGTTAAATTTGGATGAAAAGTGGATGAGAAATGAGCAAAAGTTTGTCTTACTTTGCTTTGCAGAGTGAAGCCGCTTTTTCGCAACTGTTCCCGGTTAATTAGGTGTAAAATTGTATATAATCTCCTACTCCAGATTTTCATCTCCAAAAATCTTTCAACTGTTAGTTCTATTAAGTGAGATGCACAAAACCTTGAAATTTATACTCATACCTTACACTGGCATCACACACAAAGCTCAGCTGGTTGGAGCGTTGCACCACAAGGCCGCGGCTTCGATTCCTACCATGCAGAGGGACCTTTTTGGCAACTGCTCCTGGTTAGGTGTAATAAATGCATAAAATTCACACTTGAAATTTCCATCTGCAAAACCTTTCAACAATTAGTTCCATCGAGTGAGATTGCCAAAATCCTGAACATCACTGTATGCGTGTAATGTATGTGTACCTATCAATTTTGTATTTATGAATTATTATAGCTGTATGACTACAAAGTTTGCACTAAAAGGGTAATTGACACAGAAATGAATGAAGAACTTTATCACAAAGTGAACATCAAAACAACACATAAAAAATGAGTAACAATCATTCAAGTTAACTGCTAAATTTGAGTCAAATTTTGACTTTGATCCATGAAGAGAGGTGTGGAAATGTTCGGTATACCGTTATACCGAAAATATCGGTATTGGAACCAATATCGGTTTATCGATATGAGTTTTCAGTCATACCGATATACCGAAATTTGTCCATGTTCATGCATATAGCGAAATCATCAATTTTTGTTTTACTCAAATGTAAAGTGAAAAAAGTAGACATTTCGTATTAAAAACAACGTCAACAGCTTCGAAATGATTATATCACCAATTTTCAAATTAGTCAAAATTTCCTTCAAATTTCCACGAAAGAATTTTCCTATCTAATTGAAAAGGCGTAAAACTAGTATACCAATACCGGAAAATTCTCATACCGAACATTGCCAGAGAGGTGTATGAATTTTCAGGGGAGGTGCGCACCTGCCCCGCATTATGATTGAAACTGGAATGACAAAACATCCATGCTTGTATGATATACGTTCAACTTTATTTCGCTCAACCTTTAAAATTAAAGTTCTAATAATTTATTGTTATATCATAGATTGAAGTTTGTATTGAGAGCAATATTCTTCATACAAAAAATTCTCTTGTATTATTTTAGAAATTGATAAACAGTGGCAAGGAAAAGGATAAAGTTTTTCTGAAACTCCAGGTTTGTCAAAAATTCCTAAGACTTATAGATGACCGTGAAAACATTGAAAATACGCATGTACATAAAACTAAAAGAAAGACCTAAGATTCGCTAGGTTTTAATTTATATAATGACATATCTCTTTATAACATTGTGAAACTCATTAATAATTCTCATGAATTAAATAAAAAATACAAAATTTGTTTCATGAGTTTGTATATCCAGTGGCGTAGCCAGCCGGACGATTCAGTTCCGCTATGCAAATATTGCCATGTTTATAAACTATCAACACAATCAATTTCTAAAGAAGTAAATGATGATGAGTTGAAATTTGCACGGTGGGACCAAATCGTCGGGCTGGCTACGCCACTGTGTATATCCGTTACAACACGGACGCGAATGTTGTAAATGGCATGTGAACTGTCTTGATGAGAACATTCGTATTCTTCAACAATTTAAAATAAATTAATGATATTTGGTGAAAAAATTGAACTTAAAGTTTATGTAAATCAGCGTGAATTTGTATCAGATATACAAACTCCTTCACACTCATGATTTCCTTCGTGTCTTCTTCATGAATTATTTATAAGTTTCACATTGTATGGACTGTGTTGTGTTGTGTTGTGTTGTGTTGTGTTGTGTTGTGTTGTGCCGTACTGTATTATGCTGCACTGTATTAAATCGTATCTTATTGTATTCTCTGTAGTATTTACAACATAAGCGGTTGTGTTGTATCAGATATATACTAACTCCTTCACAGTCATGATTTCTTTTGTGTTTTGTTCATGAATTATTAATGAGTTTCACAAAGTATTCTATTGCACTCTATGTGTTGTTCAACTTTACATTGATTTGTTTATCCGTTTATATAGGAATGTACGAGTAATAGAACAACGTCGCCAGTTAGGCTTGAAGTGGTACGTCAGTTCTTCATACACTGATTCCGATATACCGAAGCTATTTCATAGTAATGAGATACAGATTACTAACACCATTACCACATTATTTCAACACTACCATTGCAAAGAACTTTCCAAGTTATGAATATGCAATCTGCAAGAGTAGTGCGAGGTCAGCCACCCCCGCCCCCCAACCGGCATTTAAGTTTTAACAAGGAGAGCCGAGCCCCCTGAGACCTTCCCCAACGGGAGGTCAGCCCCCATTTAATTTTTAACAAGGAGAGCCGAGCTCCCCTGAGATCACCCCCTTACCCCTCCCCCTACACCCCTGTCCCCTACACCCCTGCCCCCCCTACACCCCTGTCCTATAATGTATAGGACTCGGTATAAATTAACGATTTTCATTTCAAGTCTTCTTTAAACAATGCAAACATAAAACCTGTGGGTAAGGAGACTTGATGATCAGATTAATGTTTTCTATTTAGACAAACCTGAAGAATAAAGTTGAGGAGTTGGAAAATTCGTTGCAGGAAAAACAAGGTGAGTTTCAACTGAATCAGTGTCCAATTACTAGAAGTGATAATTTAATATGAAATTAAATTAACGTAGCTGATTGATTCCGTTTTATTTGAAAGTATAGTAATATACGTAAAAATGTTACTCGTCTGTGATTGGTTGATTTTAGTGTAAAACCGGTGACAATACACAACGATAACGATAACTTGTATACTACGCGCGCTGATTGGTCAAAAAATTTATCGTTATCGTCCGACTGAAAAAAATTGCTCAGGTGAGCGACTTTAAAATCGTTATCGTCAAACGATGGCAAATTAATCCGACTCTTAGGGAAAAAGCGTGAATACAAAAATCCACTTTGTTCAAGTCTTGCAGTCGTGCGGGATCATTACATTAGGCTACGAAATCCGCAATTTTAGGGGGCAATGGTTCAAGCACTACGGACAGCAGAAGAAACTGAATGTCTGAGAATGGCCTGTCTGAATTCGTATTATATTCTAGTTAAATGAAAGCGATCAAATGAGCGAAGTAAACTTGGGAAAATTTGACGGCTAGTTGATGGCGTATGTTTTTATTTAGTTTTAAACGTTGAACTTTTCACTCCGAAATTTCCATCAGCTATAACATTAAATTTAAATTGACCCAAAAAGCGTGTTAAATTAAACGTGTGTTAAGGCTCCTGCTGTGTTGTGGCGCGTCACTTGCAAAAGCTTAATAATTACGAGGGATAATTTCCATGTTTTCACATCTTAAGGAAGACATGCTGTTGCGAGCGAAATCACGTTTAGCATCTGAATTATTTTCATAAATTCTTGTGTTTAGATGTCATCACAGAACTTGAAAGAGTCATTGAAGAAAAAGAAGGGAATAACAATGAAAGCAGACAAGAGGTATATGTATATATATATAATTATATAAATATTCAAGATGAATATTTAAAGATGGAAATTTTGATTGTAAATTTCATACATGTATTTAGACCTAACCAGGAGGAGCAGCGAAAAATGTAACTTTAGGTCCCTGGCAGGAATCGAACCTGCGACCCTGCGATTCCGGTGCAACGCTCCATAGCAACTACGCTACAGGGTCGAGTTGTCGAGCATTAACTACAAGTTCATGTATATACTGGGTAATGCCATGCTGTTAAATTATGGATAAATGTTATTGGCATCTCACTCGATTGAATAATAGTTGAAGGGTTTTGTAGATGGAAAATTGTCCAGTGTAAATATATATATGCAGTCATCTACAAAATTCTTCTTCAATCGAGCGAGATGCCAACAAAATCTTGATATTTACACATAATTTACCCATACCATAACATGGCAGTACTTTAGTATACATGAACTTGTGGTTAGAGCTCGACAACTGGATTCTGTAGCTCAGTTGGTTAGAGCGCTGCCCCGAATCGCAGCTTCGATTCCTGCCAAGGACCTATAGTTGCATTTTCGCAGCTGTTCCTGGTTAGGTGTAATAATAAATGTATATATATTTCCACTCGATAATTTTCCATGTACAAAACCCTTCAATTTTTTTCAATCGAGTGAGATGCCAACAGAATCTTGTAATTTATATAGGAATCAAAAGAGAAATGTTGCATATATAAGTAAATTTCATTGTAATTATTTCACTTGCATACAAAGTTTGTGTATCAACTAATTGTAATAAAAAAAATTATTTGAGAAATGTACCTCAACAATGTTTGAATATTGCGAAGTCAAGACGAATTTCAATTGACAAATCTTCGTTTATACAAATTATTGTGGAAAAATGATTGGCCATAGTGCCCGTGCAGCACAATCAGTAGACGGCCACACTGGCGCTTTCCTCAGAAAATGACCGATAGCCGACTGTTACATTGAACAGGCAGGCAAGCAATACTTTATTTAAAATTAACAAAAAGGAACACGCTAGCCCCATCAACTCTGGGCTGATTTCCATGAGGGGCATGTTAAATATTAAAAATGTTTGAAAATAAATAAATAAATAAATAATTATATCTAAATACTATATAGGCCTATACATACTTTTCTATATACAAATGTATGCATGTCACTATCCAACATTTAATCTAAACGAGTGAAGCGAACTTGCTAGTTTCGCTTCGTTTGGGAGCTGATTCCAGTGCAAAGCACCACTATATTTAAAGATTTTTTTTAAAAATTCTCTTTTTGGCTTAGGTAATGTAAGGTCTGTTGCAGTATTGCGGAGATTGTAATTAGTTTGATCTATTTCTCTTCCTACAAAAGACCTCCGAAGAGCCGGCGCAGTGTGGTCATTAAGTATTTTTTCATCAATACTGACTTGGCACCGGAACGTCTATTTTCAAGAGTGTCCCACGAGAGTGAGTTAAGAACATCAGCCGACCGAGACTCATAATTAGCACCCGTTACAACAACCCTCGCTGCCCGGGATTGAAATTTTTGGAGCTTATCTCTTAACAACTTGCCACAAGTGTCCCACAAAGGGGAACAATAATCAAAGTATGGCTGTACCAAGCTTTTATAAACAGATTCTAATGTATGCATCGGAACAAAAGGTTTCATACGTCTCATAACGCCAATAGCTGCACTTACTTTCTTGCATATCAATGTAATATGACTGTCCCAATTCAAATTTTCATCGAGTTTTACTCCCAGACACATTTGTGTACTGATTCGTGGTATGGGTTTTGCATTTACTGGGTTGGGTTATTCCAACTGACCCTTCTACCGTAAATATGCTCCATGCTCAGACATGAGTCAGGGAGATTATCTAAAGTGCGAGTTGCGAGTTGCGAGTTACGAGTATATTGTTAATTTCTAATAACATCGGGTTTAATTTTAACCCAGGGTTAACACTAACCTGGCTTTGAAGCACCGAACCAGGTGTTTACACCTGTGGTTTACACTAAAAATTCAAATTGAAAACTGTATAGCATCCTGGCGGATGTGATTTTAGCTTTGTCTCAATTTGGCGCCAATTTTCAGCTCCTGAAATAAACATTCATTGCATTTATTTTTAAACTTACAAACTTGTAAACTTGTAAATAGCAATCGTTTTGATATACTGATGGTTTTTCCTGTGTTTAGATAAAGTTTATGTATGTATATGTATGTATGTCTATGTATGTCTATGTATAAATTGAATAAAATAAATTGTACTTATAGGTACCAGCGTTCAGTATATAAAAACAAACTGAGTCGGTGTCTGGTCATACTTACTAATAAAATTAAATAACCATTTTAAGATTAGAAAGCACGTGTTGAAATTAACCAATTTAGTTGCAGGGACCTTAACCGCTTCGAAGGTCATTAATATTTATGAAACAAAACACCCTTCGATGAAAAACCCTTCGCCTTCCATGTCGTCCATATTAATATACTTTCAAAGCCTAATTCAAAGCGAGGCTAGCGACTCGCAACTCGCAGCTCGCAAAATAGCCGACCCCAGTCATAGGTGGCTGCCATGCAGAAGGCGCTTAGAAAGCCTTCGATTCGATCAGGTTGAGCTGCGTCCTTCGTAATTCAGCTTAGCTCTCAGCTGCAAGTAAAAATGATTAGCACACTCACACTTACCCATGGTTCATAGTTTACTTGCCTCGCTCGCAGTGTGTACGGGACTAACTGCAAATTAGTTTTGGCCACCTGCAAAGAAGGTAAATATACAAGTATGGAATCATTTATGTCGCAGGAGACTCAGGCGAAATTAAAATAAGACATTTGAGTATCACTATATAATGCTGTTGTTTGACATTTACATTGTTTTGTTGTGTTGTGTAGAACATGGAATATACAGCAGAGTTGGAACATGAACTCGAGCAGAAGGATCATTTGCTTAAGCAAGCCGCGTAAGTATCAATTTACGCTATTCCGTCTACAGTAAAATGCCTGATGGAACAGTAAACTTCATGATTTCAATATCTCGTTTGCATAGTAGAACAAAATGTGGTTGGTATATCAATTAAAAAAAAAATGGTTGGTAACAATCAAGTTCTAATTTCACATATGAAATGACATACATGGTGAAATTGTGTGTAAATTTTCCGTGAAGGAGGTTTTTGTTCGCTTTCATATTAATGTATTCTATCTTACTGCGTAATGCATGGCAGACTGGCACAAGCCTTTCCTATCATGAAAAACAACTTAGAGAAAGAATGCATGAGAGAGCCGTGCAGTTGATCATTTTTTGCTCAGTAAATATTAGCCTATGTCAGCGAAATTAGCCAGTGAACAGGATCTCAGGGATATCACGATTCAGTCAAGGGATAGGGATAAATGGGATAGTAAATATGTCAAAGTCTGCTGTTCCGATTGTAATACAAATTTCGACCGCTGGGGCAACCTCGTACCCAGGCTATTTTCTCTTATACCCTGGTGTTCTGGGTACGAGGGTGCCCCTGGGGCTGGTTGTTCGAAGCTGGATTAGCTCTAACCTCGGGTTAAAATTTAACCTACTGTTTTGGTTAGAGTGTCTCTGCAAGTCTGTTTATTTCATGACTTTAGAAAATATAACTCTCATTGATCCAGACAAGATTTCTAGAAAAACATTTCCATGTTTAAAAATAAGCTGTTGGGAAGATTGCTTTGAACAATTTGTTAACCTTGGCAGGGTTTTTTTCAGGATTTTCTCTCCGTTTTTGCAGAGAAGCTTGAGTTTAGCTGAACAGCTGGGGTCTGGGGCAGCTGTGGGAGGCTGACTTCTGTACCCAATAAGTGTAGTTGAGAAGCAATGTGTTAAAGCAGACACAATAAACTGGTTAAAGATGGCGAATGCGTTGTTTTTCTTGTGTTGTGAAATGAATTCCAGCCATTTTTCCTGATTGTCAGGTTTCCAACTGAAACTAATTTCCACACGTCACGAATTTAACTCAAACAACTTCATTTTTACTGCACTGAATCTTTTGGTGGGAAGATTGAGTTTCAAAACTCAATTCAAGATTGAGTTTTTGGGACCGTTTTACGGTCCTAAAAAATCCCTGAAAAAAACCCTGAACTTGGATGAAGCTAACCGATTTTTGAACAACCGACCCCAGGGTATTGTAAATAGGGATTACAGTATACATTTTCTGTTCCCGAGGGAAATAGTTTTGGTTTCCCGAGCATTTCATATATTGAGATTCGAGGGAAAACAAAACAAACTATTTCCTGAGAGCAGACATTAAGTGTTTTGTTGTATAGCGACGAGGAAAAATAACAGCATTCACAAAACTCGCCGACGCAAACAGTGCTTTTCGTGACGTAACGCAGAGGAAATTCTCGTGTACAAAACTTGGTTATATCTATAGCTAATATCAAGGCTGGATTTTTGTGGAAATGCTGGGAGATGTGAAAAATTGTTTAGGGGAGGTGCAACAATCCTAGCTCATGACTCCCATGGAATATTAGGGCTTAGAATGTACCCCTGCCTCCACAGAGTCAACTACGTGATGTATGCATGTATTTATGAATTATGACTGTACAACTCATCCAATTTTGCCATTCAATACATTACTACAAAGTTTCTTCCAATAAACGTTCTTACAGACACAAAGAAATTTTTCAAATCTTACCTACCATACCCAAATGGAGGTGCATGACTTTTCAGGGGAGGTGCAAAACGATCTCAGAGGAGGTGCGCAGCTCCCCCCACCGCCCCTCAAAATCCGGCCATGGCTAATATATAGCAGCTTTTTCCCAAACACGCACTCAACGAGTAATCTACTTTTTGCATAAAAAGACTGCGACATTTTCTTTCCTTGCTCAGCTTGCTATTTTACTTGGTTCGATTGTATAAATTGATTGGGACACAATGTTATTCCGTTTTATAGGGACACCATTGAAGCTTTTCAAGCCAAGTTGAATAATTTGCCAGTTCTCGAGGTATGAGTTACATCTTATTTCAACAAGTTCTACAAATGTTTTAGTCAGATTTCAATATGATTGTGAAAATTTGGTCTGACAATATCTCAGACCAGCCCACGTTCCGGACGGACATGATTGGAAACTTATTTTTTGTACAGACCGAGCCTGTAGGGCGAGGTTTGTACAAAAAGACTGAGATCCGATATTTCTCTGTAAAGACCGAGCGAGCGAGGTCAATAAAAAGTTTATTATATGGCATTTATACTAGGTATTTATAACTGAAAAAAAAACGCAAGAAATGCATGATTTGAAATGCATATTAGTAGCGTGGTACACATTTGGTCGAACTGAAAACAAAAAATACCAATGTATTCCTTCTTTTTCACTAAAAACCATTCGCAGATATCTTAACTTAATTAATAACAAATTAAATTATAATTTTCAAATTTTTAATTAGTTAGTTTTGCTATTTTGTTTTAAAATGTATGCGTTTCTTCGGTCCATTACGGGAAAATAATGGACCGCTAAAAGTGCTTCTCAGCCAATCACAGTCCGCCATTTCACCGGAAGTGATGCTTGCCGTATAATGATGACTGTTATATTACACACTGGTTTTAATAATTTTGCTTCAAATATAGGAATTGAAAAAGAACTTGGAACAAACTAAAACTGTAAGTACCTTTTGTCTTTCGCATAATTATTATTTTACATTACTTAATTTTTGGTTAAGATCCATGCAACTGAAAAGTTCTTGGTTTCGTGGATATTGTTTCGTGGATATTGATGCATGCCTGGTACCATGAACTGGTGACGTGGTTTTATTGTTTGTCACAGCGAAGCCAAGAAAATGTTTTATGTAGCTTCTCTCGGCTTTGTTCTTTATGAACAGTACTGGTCAAATAGTATACCTTTAATTTAAATGAAAACTACTTATTTTGTTTGCTTTGTCAAAATGTCTATACAGAAAAAAAAACGGCCGTTGTAATCCGCAGGTTAATTGTAACAAATCTACAACAAAGCTTATAGCAATGATGTTTCAACAACTGTCACCAGGATGTGTTCGCACCGGTTGTCCCTCAGCTTGTTGACAAGTTGCTGCAAGGTTGTAGTCTTGTAGACTGAACAGACTTGTTACAAGTTGTTCCAACAACTTCGTATCTTCTTATTCAACATCATATGAACAAGTTGTGATTTACAATCTTGTAACAAATTAACAAACTAACAACACAGCCGCCGGTGTTCCAATTCAAAAGCAGGGACGCCGGAACGATGTGAAGGCAAGGGGGGCAGATTTTCGTGAAAGGGCACTTTTGAATTGATATATACTGAGAGATGTTTGCAAAACATCGGGAGTTGAACTTCGCCTAATCATGTTTTCTATTTATTGGATGATAGGGGTGTGAGGGGGTTCTCTGACAGGCGATCGTGCTATTCTTGAAGCTCGATGACTGCATTTCTTGCGTTTTCTGAGGCAAATTCATAATATAGAATCGCACTAACATTTCTGACAATTCGCTATTTCGCCAAGGCAATCCTTTAAATTGAAAGGGCACCTTTGCCCCCCTTGCCCCTCCTGGTAAAGGGCAACGGGGGCGGCTGCCCCTTCTGCCCCCCAGTTCCGGCGTCCCTATTCAAAAGAATTTTAATTAGACTCTTTTGTCTGGAACACCAGCATGGCCGCCTGGGTTGGTCCTTGGGGAATGAGTGCAAACCCTCCATACTTTACATTGGTATTCAAATACAGTTTTTTCTTTTTAATGTGAAATTTTTAGGCTTTCAATGAATCTGAAATAGAAAGAAAAAGACTTCAGGCTGACTCGGTAAGCTTTCACGTATCTTGAACTGTCTGTGTCAGTGTAGGTAGTGCCAGAAGCATTAACAAGCTTTCTTTGATAGGGATGCAACTACCTGAAAAATATAAGGAGAATTTCTTCGTATTCCAAACGAAGGGCCTTCTCCCGAAACGTCGAAATTCTCCTTATATTTTTCAGGTAGTTGCATCCCTACCAACGAAATCTTGATTCACATATCTGCCTGGGATTACATTTATTCCACTATGCTTTCTTACTAAACCTCGATGGCAAAGTCCTGACTGATATTTTATATGATTACAGCAAAACGTACAAGGAAAACAACTGAAAAAAATCCAGGCATTGGAAAGTGAAATTAACTCGTTGCGACACGAAAAGGAATCCTGGTTATTACAGCGAGAGAAAAATGCAGAAAAGAAGACTAAAGATCAGGTACAGTAGTGTTTATTTTTATCATTAGAGACCTTATACCGTAAACCTCCGATTATAAGCCCTGGGCTTATATAATTTCGTAAGCGTTTTTCGATGAGCTTAAACACGGAGGTGACGAGCTTAGCTCGATGAGCTTATATGAGCTTTTTATCTATAAAATTGAAAAAGTGATAATCATCTCAGTGTCAAGTACTCTTTTAATGCAATGTTTCTAAGAACATCTTGTAGTATTTTAACACGTGGCGAAATTGGATGAGTCGTATAGTCAATTCATGGATACATTGATAGATACGTACACTTGTACGCATGGTTGACTTCAAAGGGCTATGTTCTGTGCGCTAACATCGCAATTCCCAAAATTTAGTAACAAACATTAAAGTTAATATTAGGTTTGAGTCACATTTTTAGTGTGAAGTTTCACTTCACACTATTGTGATGGCTGGCGAATTCACACGAATCAGTCAAACAGTCAGTCAGTCAGTCAGTCAGTCATAGAGTAAACTTTCCGGGGGGTGTATACGATTTATGTTCGTAGTGATTTATTGTACTTAGTCAGTACTTTGAAGGTTATTTAGGCAATGTCAGTTAACATATTTACATATATATTTACATATTCTATTATCCTTTTGCCAAGTTCACAAAAATTTCGAGGAATCGCTTTCGTTATTGTATTTTTTTGTAAATTTTAGAACATTCGCTTCTCATGTTGTGTAAAGGATCGTTACCCCGGAACACACGATTTTTTCTTTAGTAGCGCAAATGCGCATGCGCTATCAAGCCGTAGATCACGATGGCGTGACGATATGCTAGGAAGGGGTGACAGTGTTGTTTTCAGATGTATAAAGATTTCAGACGTGAATATTGAGTAAATCTTTGAAAATCTACGTAATATATAAATTGATCTTATGCATTACGGGCGTTCAATTAAGTGCCGATAATATTTAGACGGTATATTCATTATACAAAGCTAGGAAGGAGCTAGACCGCCTAGACAGTGCAGTTAAGTGTATAAACATTTCAGACGTAAATATTGAGTCGAAAATCTTGCTTCTAGGCATTCAATTGAGTGCCGATATTATTTTTTCACGGCATACTCATTATACAGAGGTACAGTACGTGCAGGCAGAAGCGAGACAGTGTTGTTTTCAAGTATATAAAGATTTCAGACGTGAATATTGAGTAAATCTTTGAAAATCTACGCAATAATAGTAATACAATATATAAATTGATGTTATGCATTACCGTCGATATTATTTAGACCGTATAAGTACATTCTCATTGACTGTATAAGGTGCTACATCACAGAATAGATGGCTATACTCAGTACAAGAGCGAAAAATTGCATCAGATTTGTATCAGATCAATAAAGCATAAACAACTATTAAACAGAAGCGGGTAAACGTTTGTACGGCGTTTACGAAGAAAAAAACTTACGAGACTAAAGGAATCAGTTGTGTCAGAGCTCCTTGTATAAATATTAAAGAAAGACGAGGAGATAGCCAACGTGTTTAGGTGTTATCGCCAACGTGTTATCGCTAATCGCTTAATTGGCTCGCCAACAAGCTTAATGCAATAGAAGAAAAAAGCAAGGAGGTACATGTAGCCAACGTGTACATTCACGGACCTTGTCCTTGTCTTTGTTTGCTGTCTAGTGTCTAGCACAACGCCGTTGTCAACGGTGCAAACTCGTATTCAGTGCAACGATAACTCTACCAGATCTTACGAGAATCAATCTGTAGTATTCTGTACACATAACTGTATCAAAGTTTGTCAAAAATGTTTTAAACACTGCTATAACTATGGCGTTCCGTTCCGGTCAAAATTATTTCAAGTCAACAAGTAATAGTCAAACATTATATCAACATGTTATAACTCTCAATATAATGTTGAAAATATCAAGATGAAGTTCAAACTCAAAAAAATAAAACGAAAGTTTAAAGCATATACTTCAAAACTGCAAAATATATTTCAAACCTCAAAGGATATACATGAAAATTAAACGCAAGTCCAAACTTTTATTTATAATACGAAACTCCCAAATGATAAGTCAAAGCCGCGGCTCATAAAAATAAATCGAAAAGTCAAAAATATAAATCGAAAGGAAACGGAAGTAAGCAACTTAACTAGAGGAAGTCAGGAAACGGAAGTTAACCACAAACATTGCTAAGCTCGTCTTTTAACAATAACATTCGCTATGATTCAACCGAATATTTTTCTCAATGCTTAAAATCCTCTAGAGCAACAACTTTTGTCAGATATGCGCATCCTTCAAGTGATTGTTCGTCGTCAAAGGGAAACATGCGAAAGATGCGAATTTTGGTGTGGGAAGACAAAGACTGGACGTCTGACAACAGGCCATCTAAACTTTAATTCTCCAAGTTGGACTTTCCTGAGCAGAAATTACAAGAAATTTTGAGTATCTGAGAGTGCAATACGACGACGTCGACGTTAATTTTACTTTGTCTCCGCTATATACGAACAGGGAATCACTCAATCACATTCTACGATAAGGGACAATGATTTTGATCTACTTGTTCGTGGTATCTCACAAGTATCACCCAGGATCATCAGGCTATAGATTAGTACAAGAATATTTATCTCGTAAACATCCAGACGGCGAGCAAGATATTCGGTTGAATCATAATATAATATAATATAATAATGTAATTGTTACTGTAAAAGACGAGGTCAGCAATGTTTATAAAGAGAGAAATAATTCGTCAGTTTCGAAATCTTTAACTTTTTAATATCGACATACGTAAATATCTCAGCGCGTGTTCACCCCCCTTTAGAACAAAGAATACCATTCGCTGGCTTCTTGGTTAACTTCCGTTTCCTGACTTCCTCTGTATTAAGTTGCTTACTTCCGTTTCCTTTCGATTTATATTTTTGAC